GAACACAAAGCACACACTTCACTAGAAACAGGGGCTGCTCAGCTATCATCTCTGTAGCAGGGCACTAAGGTGCCTGCTACATGAAGAGCCAGGTTAACTCCTCAGGTGCCGGCTGCTGAGGCAACTAGAGGGAACTAATGACCCACACCTGCCTAGCCAGCTGAAAGAAGGGGCAGGGCCTGGCTCCTATATAAATCACAGGCAGGAGGCTAGGAGGTAGTTCCCTACCAGCAGCCAAGGAGGAAGGAGCTCTCAGTCATGGAAGAGAGGAGAAGCCTGCTGCAGGAGCAACGTCTGACACTGCTGCGAGATGAAGAACCCCAGTAAGCTTGAGTGTGGTTATAGCCAGGTGGCTTCTGTTTGTGTTATAGCCCAGGGGCTTGCATTTGTGTTGCTTTTTGGTCACTGGTGGTTTGGGTGAGGCTATTAGGGGTTGGAGGAGGCCTTATAGGGGACCCGCAGCAGTGTGGGAACCCCAGTGCCAGCAAGGGTGCAGCATTTGGGGTGCACAGACCCCAGCCGTGGAGAAGGGGGTGTTGCTGAGAAGCCCCAGTGCAGGCGTGGTGAGCCCCGGAGAAGGGGGCAGCATTGTGGTGAGCCCTGGAGAGGGCACGGAGAGAGAGAGAGAACAACGTCAGTCACATCTGCGAGGCTTGGGGTGTGGTACAGGGGTAGTTGGAGCCACGCGTAGCCCATAAGGCTGGGGTGTACGGAACACCCGAGACAGGAGAGGAATTAGCAACAACAGGAGAACTGTGGCCAAGAAGATGAAAGGCAGCCTCCCTAGAAAATATATAAGATCAAAGTTGTGGCAGGAGAGAACTGGAGGGTGCTAGTTGGCAGCTTGGTATGGTAAAGGAGGTGGCAGGGGAGAGCACAGTGACCCTGACTGCCCTCCTGTTACAATCTCCATCAAAACAGCACAAGCCTTTTGGGTCACCAGTTTCCAAATCCCCTGCTATAGATTTCTGAACAGCTGTAGTTGCCAGATCAAGCTCTCGCACACCTTACATTTCCTATTAACTTGTGATTATTTATTTGCAAGTCTGACTCCCATGAACCTTCTCATAGCCAAAGCTGTATGGCCAGGTAAGCAACTACTCCAAAAGTGAAGCTATGCACACTGAATTCTGTTACACCAGAATTTGAATTCCAAAGAATGGAGTCTTGCCCCTCCATTCAAGGTCAGACTGATCACTGTATTTTGGGTGATCAGATTGGTACAGATTATGCGGGGTTTTTTTGCTTCCTCTGCAGCAGATGTAGCCCTCTTCCTGGAATCTTTCAGGTATATTTTAACAACCTTTGCAGCAGCAGAACATTGGCTGCCATGGTCTGCCTGTTCTACCTGTGGCAGGTTAGGTTCTTAGATCTTAGGGTGTATGTCAGGGTTGACTGTGTAGTTTTGTTAAGAGACTAGGCAATGAATTTATACAAGATGGTTTATACAGATGATCCTGCCCCAGGCAAAAGGCTGGGGTAGATTGACCTCTGAAGGTTCCTTTCAGCCCTACTTATTTATGATTGTAAGAAGATTTCTTGAATCAACTGCTCAGAAAGCATAGCCAGATTGGCCATTCCTGAACAGGGTGTCCATCCCTGCCCTATGGTTAGGCCAACATCTCAAAGGTTACATAACCAATACTGTTCAGGACATTGTGCTGTTCCACAGAACAAACAAATCCAGTCCATCCTCAGGTCCTCCGAAACAGAGTAAAAGCAAAGTAATTGCTAAATTGTCCACAGTTGGTCTTCTGGGGGAAAATTCTGGGATCTGACTGATATGACAAGGCCAAGAGAAGACACTTACTGGTTCTGTCAGGCTGCTGTCCTTTTCCAAAAACTGCACCACACAGTATGCCAACTGTCACAGGAAAAAAACAGCATGGTTAGAACTCTTCCAAGCATTAGCAGGGGCAGGCAGACATCAGTGAATACATGTGAAATGCAAGCACTTACCATAGAGTGTGGTCAAAAGCTACATTAGAGCTGATCATGGGGGAGAGAGGGGAGGGGGAGTGGCAACCAGTTGCCAACTCAAATAAGACATTGCCTGACAACTGATGGAGGGCCTCCCTAAGTTCAAGCACTAGGGCACAGGCCTTTGGGAAACACAGCTGAACTCCTCATACTGTGCCAGAGTAGTTCTGTGACTGCACATTCACAATCAGCAGCCACCAATTTTAATAAATCGACATATGCATGCAGAGCGGGAACAAATGGGGCAACCCAGTGAGTCCCACCTTCTCAAGCAAGGTTGGGGAACAAGAGGCTATGAGGGCCCTCACCACTCAGTGTCATGAGGGCTATGAGGGCCCTCATTACTCCATTTGCTAGAGTTCTGATCTATATAGATCAGCAACTCCTTAGGGCAGGAAGCTGGCCTCTGTAAGTGCATAGCATAATGTTGATACTACATAGAGAAACAAAAAAAAGTTGTTAACAGTAATGACCTATGCTTACCCTACACACCCCAGAATAAGAAATGAAATTCAGGGCCCTCAGCCATCTGAGTACACTGGGGCCACATGCCACCAGAAACAAAGGATGAATAAGCTTAAGTTAAGACGAGGGTGGGTAGCAGCACCCACTCACACTGGCCAGAAGCAGCAAGTTAACAGGCTGGAGTGAAGGACTACAGTCTACAAGCATGTCTGGGAGCGAGAGTTCTAGTCAGACAGCAGAGGGGTAAATACACAGAAACACCAGAAGGCCCCACAGAAAGAGCTTTGCAGCAAGCCTAGAAAATTACTATAAGTGAGTCCAGGGCTCTCACACACTGGCCTTGCACTACTGACAGAAAGCACTTCTCACCTGCGGGTGGTAGACGCTCAGTGATTTCACCTTGTGCAAAGGTAGCAACACCCGAATGAGGAACATCTTGTGCTCTTCCTTCAGAGGCAAAGCAAACCCATTGATTATACTGAGGGAAAGGGAGAGACGTATTGATATTAATGTAGGGACCCAGTATGAGGATCAGACTAACTGCAGCATACAACCAGTTTCTAGACCCATTCCAACACACCTACATATAGCAGTACAGAGAAAAGGCCACAAAGAAAGACTGAGACAATTCAAATATTATCAAAGCCTAAGTCTGTCTGTCCATCCATCTGTTAGTCACGACTTATTTGAGCTCTGATTGGCTGGCAGAAACAGCCAATCGGAGTGCTCCAAGAATAGGGTAACATTGTCATGATCCTGAAGCCACAACCAGGACCAGACAGAGGGTCCTGACAGAGGGGACCAGACCAGGACCAGACAGAGGGGAACCGGGGCCCGCTCCCTGCAAGAGGCAGAACAGTAGTAGCATGGGGCGTTAGGTGGTGGCACTCCATCCCAGCCCCCTCCTGCCCCTGCCCCACCCCCATCATTCTTGATGGGCAATTGGCTAATGGTACCATAAAGTCCACTCATACAGGACTCGCAGGGTGACTACTCATAGCAGAGACTTCTCCTAAATACTGGCTTCATCTACACATGCAGCAGATTGCACAGTTGTTACTGTGCAGTCATTTAATACTTGACTAAGCAAGTACTAAGCAACTGAGCAGTAGCTAGCTTTACTGTGCAGTACAGTCGCTACACATTTTTTCACCGAAGTTACTGCGCAGTAGCTCATTACTACTGCACAACAGCATTGCATCATTGTTAGTGCCTGGTAACGCTACTGCGCAGTAGCAATGAGTGATGGCACAGCAGCTTGTTGCTACTGCATCATATCATCTCATGTAGATGCACCCACTGCCTCCTAGTAAGGTGATGCAGCAACCACTGTATACAAGAGGGGGGTGGTGAGAGCAAACAATTGTAAGGCTTACAATTTTGTCCTTGTCCTGGGCCAAGTTTTAAGAGTATCTGTAAAAAGGAAGACAAACCTCTGGGGAAAGAAGGGCTGTGCCCACCACAAGACTGGTCTGGAAAACTCTCTTGGCTTTGAATGTATGTTTGGACACACATTGCAAGAAGTGGACTCCTGCAACTCAGATGAAGTATAAGTCACCTCAGCAACTGAACTGTGCTGAAGCTGAGAAGTAACCTGCGAAGTCAGCCAAAGTAGCAGACTGGCCCTGACACTAGGCCGAGTAAGTTTGTTGCCTCATACAATATCTTAGGCTGTGAGGTCCCATCCAACTCAAAAGGCCCCCCATCTCCTAGAAATGTCAAGATACATGTGGAAAGGGAGAAAGGCCCTCACCTGCCCAGGATCTCCAGTAGCTCTGCAATCCCATTGTGATGCTCCGTTTCATAGATAAACCTGAGAAAGGGGAAGGGAGAGGAAGGGTCACTGCCAAATATAAGATGCAGGTTACTAGGCAGAAAGGGAGACTTCAGAGAGCTTCACAGTAACAGATGAGTCACAGAAAACCCAACGCTGTTCATATTGCAGGATGCGGGAAAGCACCCTTATCAGCTGTGGGTACTCTTAGGGTGTGCAAAGGGGAAAAAGGAGGTCCCTCCTCAGAGCAGTTGGAGGCACAGAGCATTAAGGAATCTTCACTCACATCTCCACACAGTGAGGCAACATGGCTGTCCCAAGTTACTTGGCTAGTCACTGGCAAGGTCAGGAGCAAAACCTCAGTCTGCTGCTCTGTTTCTACAGGTCTTCTGAGCCATTTTGCCAGGCCAGCAGCACTAGGAAGGACCTCACCTGTAAAATATGTTGTTGATCTGCCGTCTCACATATGCTCGCAGGCCCAGGAACTTTCCATAAATCCTGTGCAAAATGGTCTTGAGAAAGTCTCGCTCTCTGGGATCTTCACTATCAAACAAATCCAGTAACTGTGGAAATAAAGGTTCAGTCAGTCCCTGTCAGTGATGTAACTAGAGGTAGCACAGCAGGTCAAGGTACTGATTTACAAGGGATGCCAGATAGATGCCCCTGTTGTGGTAGCAGCAGCAGCCCAAGCAGCAAACGGGCTATGGTGAACCCATGCAATAACAGCAGCCAGGGTCTTTGAGAGTCTCTGACCCCAGCCCAGAGACATTTAGCACACCCCTCCCCCAGTAGTTTCCTCAGTCAGCTCAACCCTTGTGCAGTAAGGACATCCATGCCCTACCCATTCCCAGGCCCTCACGACCCTTGGCCTCAGAAGCAGATTCTCTCCCCCACATCTTCCATAAGGCCTATGGTAAAAGTCATTGATGGCAGCTTGTACAGATTCTTGCTCAGCACCAAGCTCTTTCAGCAAGGCATGGAGAAGTGTGAGGCACCCTGGCACTGCCTTTCCTGATGCCTTCTAACCACCCCTTTCACAAGGCTTTGGGGACTGCTGCCTGGACAGTGACTGCTGGGGGTCCCTCCATTCAGACATGAGAAGAGGTGGTAAGAGCTGCCACCACTTACTGACAGAACAAACTTCTGGTCAATATATTTCTTGGCTACATTTGGCTGAAAATCAGGCGATTCCAGAAACCGTAGAAAGAATTCATACACCAGCTGAAGGGGGAAGGAAGAGAGTGCTTTTAAAAAAAAAAATAAAACATTTCACTGAATTCATATACTGTATTAAATCTTTTAATTATTTCCCTCGTGTTGAATGGAGCAGTGGCTATCAATTCTGGCAGAAACACTGAATTATCAGTAGTTGGAACTGGGAAAGATGTCATCTTATTCCTCTGCCAGGAACTAAACCCTCCTCCTCCCCGCCATCCCTGCCAGAAAAGGCAAATGATCAAAGTGTTAATTCACACTATAGATAGGGGAACATCAAGGGACAGACAGACAAAATGGATGCCAGGAGAACACAGCAGGCCACACAGTTGTTTCTGTACACTGTGTTTGAAATCTGGCTTGGCCATGCTAACCTAGGGGCTCTGCTGTACCTCAGCTGACTGAGTTAATTAGTTGGTTTTGGAGAGGCTGCCTGGGTGATGACCAATCACTTCCCTTTATGCAAAGTCCCCAGCAGGAGCTCAGGTAGTCTGGATTTACTTAGTGGGGATCACTGAGACAAATGACGTCTCAGTGCCCAGTCTCAGTGTGGAAGGAGCTAAGAGACTTGCCTTGTGGGACCAGCCTCAAGGAATACTCAAGCTGTACAAAGGCAGCTCTGGGCAAAGCAAAGTAACAGACTACCTGCCATGAATAGGCCAAGGGAGTCACCAGCCTTGCTTGACACAAAACAAGAACCCAGTGATTAATGTTACAGCGGGTCTGCCAACCCCCACCTAGCATGAACACAAGCATTCCTAGATAAGCTGCAGCAATAGTGAGTTGCCCCTTACTGCCAAAGAATGGCATCTTAGTTCCAATTTGAGTATTTTTTTGTTCAGCCCTCATTCTGGTGCTGCCCACTATAGTGAACAGCCCTTTTCTAACAGGTCTCTCTCTGAGCAGGTGTCTGCAGACCCAATAAAGCAACTGCTTAATTTTCTCTGAACTCCATTTTTCTGGATGAACCAAGTTTACTACTGCAATCACCAGGAAGCTGTTCAAGTACAATTTTCCAGGAATTCTAGCTTAGTGAGCATTTAGAAGTGCCCCTTCCCAATTTCCCAGTTATGTTCATACTTCTGCTGCTGGATTGTTTGCTTCCATTAAGTTTTACTAATTTATTTTTGGCTTTTAAAAGCAGGCCTTCTTAAAGTGCTAAGTAAAGTTGTATTAGTGGATGTCCAAGCAAAGCTCCCACTGGAACCAAATAGCGCCCCCTCCAAGAAGCATCACCCTGCTGGTTAGCCAGCCAACAAGCTTAGTACCAGAGGAAAATAGTGATGCTGATACACGATGGAGCTAGCCCTCCTGTGCTAAAGGACTGAGAGATGCATCATGGGGCCCGTGAGAGAGAGGAAAATTCCCCAAGGGTTCTATCACCTACTTCCAAAATACAATGCTCCCCAAGCGCTTTAGAATAGCTGCTCACTTTCAGCCCACCTTAGCATCCCCCAGGACCGAGCAGCATTCATTTGCAGAGCACTGAAGAATTAGTTTAGAAATGGGGCAGGTAACTTACCCCAGGGAAACACAGTGAGAAATACTGGCAGGAAAAAAAGGTTTAAATCCATACACAGCAGAATCATTATCTTCTCTATCACTCCTCACCCTGGCACCTGTCTTTTCTCAACCCTGCACACCAGGTGGCTTCTAGTTCTCCCCTTAAGATCCAAAGTTACAGCTGGCAGCCTCTTGCTACTTGGTGTGGAAGACGGCTAATGACAGCTCCCACTCCTCCTCCTTACCTGGAGATGTGGCCAGGCAGCCTCTAGTGTAGGTTCGTCCTCCTCAGGATCAAATTCAGCTCCTGTCGGGTTGGATGAAGGGGGCAGTGTCCGGAACAGATTCACTGAAAACTGATGGGTGTGAAATGCAGAGAAGAGACCCTCACACACTGCAGTGGCCCTGCTGACAGCAAAGCTCTCCCAGAGCCCTCTCACTAGCAGAGCAGCACAAAGGAAGTGCTCTCTGCAAGTGCTCCCACAAACAGCTCCCTTGCTGAAGGCCAAAGAGTTACTGCTCTCGTGCCACCCACAAACTCCACAAGTGTTGCCTGTGCCAAGAACAAAGTCTGCCCTTCCCCTCTCCTCATACATACATTGGATCCTCCTTCCTTTGCAAGTGCACATACCAGACACTCTCATGCTCCTTCCAGACAAGTTATCTTTCCTTTCACTAGCTGCCTTCACTCACCCCTCTCCACAGTTTTAATTTCTTGGCATGTACAAACAGCCTCTCCCAGTCCTGATGACCCCAGCCCTTTACGGGACGATCACAGAAAGCTGGCCAGGGTCCCTACCATGATGACAGCTTCAGGGTAGATGGCCTCAGTGATGACATCGCGGTTGTGTGTGATGTACTCCACCATCTCATTGAGACCTGCCCGCTTCACCTCCTTGAACTTCAAGTCACTGAGCGGGTCAGAGATGAAGTCAAAGAGAACACAGCACTGTCGCAACTTCTGTATGAACAGCTCTTCTCGTTCATGAGGGGGAGCATCTGACAGGGACAATAAAGCATGGAAGGGTTTTTCCTCTGCACCACCCACTGCTGAGCAGAATGTCTGGCTAGATAAGCATTTGACATGAAGCCCTATTTTTGTATGATCCCAATACCAGACAATCTGCACTGTGTTCAGCTTCACAACACTGCCATGGGACAGAGCAGTGCTCTCATTCCTGTTACCGACAGATGGGATAACTGACACAGGGAAATGAAGGCCCTGCCCAGACAGGAAAGTTTTACCAGTTAGTGAGGTGTAACTTTTCTATGTGGACATTTTCTCTTCCCATGTAACATATGAGAAGCCAATAGAGACACCCACATGTTGGAAGAAAAATAATTTAAATTATAAGTGTCCCTTGTGTGGAAACCTTTCTTCCAACATGGGAAAGTTACACCTCACTAACTGGTAAAATTACATCAAACACATTCTCACTGAGTACAGCTCCCCAGAGTCACATGAGGACTGGAAATTGGGTCTCCCAAGTCCTCAGCTATCACTCTTGCCACAGGAGTGACCCCCTCTCTAGCACCTGCTAGTGAAGGAGATAGGTGCCAAAATGGGCCATGCCCTCACTTACATTAGGCCCTTTATTAATTAAGTTGTTTCTTTGCTATATTGCTACCAGACGTATTCAGACGCATGCAAGAAGCTTCAGCCTTTTCTACTGGCCGAGTAAAAAACAGACTTCTGGTCTGCCTAACAGCTGTTGCACTGGTAGGCAGTAGGGGTGTGCGAAACAAGCTGTATTCGATTTGGATTCGGCCCAAATCAGGGGCGGTGATTTGATTCGTTGATGTGGATCACTGTCCCCAATTCGATTCAGCCAGATCCAAATCTGCAGATTCGATGCTGATTTGGAGAATCAGCGATTTGGACACAGACACAGCTATAAATGGTTTTTCTACATACCTCGAGGTACCAGGCGCAGCTCATGAACGCCGCAATGGTTGAGTGGATGGAGCGTCCCACAGGAGCATAGGGGGGCCCCCTGCACATGCTCAGCAGAGAACCTTGAAGCAGACCAGAAGTACTTCTGGTCCACTTGTGGGTCTGCCAGGGAGGGCGCTGGGGGGCCCTCCACATCCCACTGGCTCAGCAATCAGCTGCAGAGGGACCCTGGGTGCCCCACCCCCAGACCCAGGAGGCACCAATCCCCGAGCCAGGAGGGGGAGGGGTGCCCCCAGTGTGCTCCCCAGCAGACCCGGAAGTGGACCGAAAGTGCTTCTGGTCCACTTCCAGGTCTGCTGCCAAGCGTGCTGGGGAGCCCCTGTGCTTCTGTGGGACCCTCCATCCGCCCCACCATCACAGCATTCACAAGCCACCTGGTACTTTGAGGTATGTAGAAAAAATATTTAAATCTGTCTCTATGTCTGAATTGCCAAATCTTTCCAAATCAATTCAGAGAGATTAAGGGGTCCTCTGATTTTATTCGAATTCAGAGATTTGGCCACCAAATTGGGCCGAACCAAATCAGGGACCGTAGCTTCACACACCCCTACTCGGCAGTAGTCTATGCTAGGGAAATTACCTCTGCCTGGCAGCAGATGTCAGCAAAAGGGGTTACCTCTGAGCCACTCCTGAAAACAATTTGTCCCTGCTTTGGCTTATAGCTAAACAGTGTTCACTAGCACCCATTACTGACAGTAATTACGAACACTGGGCAACAGTCCTAGCAAAGAAGCAGCTAAAACAAGCCAGCCCCAGTTGTAACGGAAACACCATGACTAAGAAGATCTGGTCATCTTTCAGGAATATGACACTGCTTGGAGTTAAGGCTCAGAACAAGTTTGCCGCCAAAATCCACAGCAAAATCTCTGCATTCTGTCACTTTCCACTACAGCAGACTGGAGGTTTGGCAGCAGCCTCTAGCAGTGAGCTGTGCTGTGGTGGTGGACCTTCTGATCATGACGTCACTGGAGCTGCCCTTGCCCCCAGCTCTTGGCCAGTGCACTGGCTGTCACTGAGGGAAATGCCACCACAGTGATGCTGGAGCTACCTGCGTCCTGCCACTGCAGGAAGCCCTACACATGCAGTCAAAACTTGGGCTTTGCACACAGTGGCGGTGTTTGCCCATGATGCTACTAGGGTTGCCAGTGCCCTGGCTCTCACTATGCTGCAGGCTGCTGCCATGGGAAGCCCTGCCTCAGCTCTGACCACAGCAAAAAGGTTTCTGCCCTCCACCCATGGTGCTGGTGCAGCTGCTTGAGCCCTGGCAAAAGCCAGGACTCTAGCTGTCACTGCAGGGAACACCACCACCATGGCCAGAGCCACAGTGGCAGTGGTTTCTGTCTGCCATGGTGCTCATGTTGCCATGCTCCAGATCTCACAATGGCACTGTCTGCTGCTGCAGGAAGCCTGGCTGTCATAGCCAGAGCTGGGCCTCTGGCCATGGTGGTGGGGCTTTGACTGCAGTGCCACTGGAGCTGTCAGCAGGGTGTGGGCTGCCACCACAGTGGCAGCTGCAAAAGCCTGGATTCTAGCTGCCATAGTGCACACGCACGCTCTCTCCTTTACTCACCTGCCACACCTTGATGTTATCAATTTCTGATGAAAGGTAGGCCACCCCAGGGTTTCCCAAACCTGGTCTTACTCTTAGGACCAAAGGTACTTGTGGTCATTGCCTTAAGGCAATGGCAGGTCATTACTAGTTTTATGGACTCCATCCTCGCAAATACCCACTCCCAAGCCTCACAAGTGATCTGCTAACATGTCATTCATGGGCTACAGGTTCCCAGCCCAAAGCCCTGCCCTCTGGCAGGCCCAAGGCACCAGACCCTTCCGGTCCTCACCAGGCATCAAACCTTCTCCCAAGTACCTAGTCCTCCCTGGGCTCAACCTCTCTCTCTTTGGGCCCCAGGCCCTCTATTCTTCTGGCCCATCTTTCTTTCACTGGGCCAGTTGGGACCTCCATGCCTCCCCTTCAGTCCTTCCTACAACCACCAATCCCCCAGGCCTATCTGTTCCAAGGCCTGGTCTGTGGTTATCAGGAGCCCTGCTAACAGGAGTTTCTCTCACAAGGGTACTCAGGTAGACTGCCTAGCCAGCTTAGGCCATGGGCTTATGAACTTCAAGCCTGGCCCCCTCCTGGGCAGGTGACTCCCTAATCAGCCCCCCTGGCCACCTGCGGGTGCTCCCCAAACAGCCTCTCCTCTTGAAGTAACAGGCGCACAACCAACCACCCTGTCACAGTAGCCTGTTCCCCCACAACCTCATCTCTGATAAAAGGTTAAAAGGCAAGCTTTCCATGAAAGTAGGAAATACAATGCAAAAGTGCTTCCTTAGTGACAAGAAAGGCATTGGGGTTGTCCGAGGTATGAGAGGAGGGGAGGGAAAGCAAGGTGAGACTTACACAGGGATTCTCAACTGAGAGGGAGTCAAGACAGCAGGCAAGAGTGCAGGAAACAGCCATGGTGGAAAAAAATCAAGTAGAATATAGAGACTGGTGTAGAGGTTACTTTGGTGCAAAGGGACCCAGGCATAGATCCTCATGCTGGAGAAGGACCTAGACTCTCTGCAGGATGCAAATGAATCTTACAGATCAAGAAGATGGCTTTCCTAAATTCCTAGATGGGTTTCCTAAATTCCTGTTGTCAAAAGGACATGCTCTTGAGAGTCCAGAGAAGATTAAAAGCACGTTCTGCAGGGAGTCAGAGCTGCAGATAAATGAGGGAAGAGCCTCCCCCCAAGACAGCACTTGTGACAATGCCTTTGTTCCCTCTGAAAGATAAGGGCTTTTTAATTGGAGACTAAGATACCCTACCATGAGAGAGAACCAGTGGAATAATGCAATGGCGCTGAAGCATATCAGCATCCAGATAGTGATGGTGCAACCCTTTCATGGGCCAGTGGGAGAACCTCTCACAGCAACTTGCTAGAAGCTCTCAGTACTTAGGTTGGTTTTGAGGCAGTGACAGATGTTTTCCCTATAGTACTGCAGATGCCAAGGTTAGCATAACTGTACTGAATTACCTGTTGCTGTTCTGCTTGGAAAATGCTTCCAAGAAGCCAGGTTGAGGCTTGCCAGGCACATACACTCGCAACCGTACAGCATCCTTACCTTTAAGGGCAGGGAGTTTTTGTAGCTCCCGGTTTTTGCTCAGATTGAAACGAGAGGAGCTGTGTCGTCGCTCCTTTTTTACAATCTGGGGTCCTCCCGAGTACTTGATCTTATTCAGCTGTGTCGGTGGGGGGGCACTATTACTGGGTCGCTTATTTGAAGTTGTTTGCTGTTGCTGCTGCTGGACCTGATGGAGAAAAAGAGTAGGTCAATGTGCAAGCTTCAATAAGCCTGACATGCAAACAGATGTTGTTAATAACAACATTTCTATCCTGTCCAACCTTCACACAGATTCATAAATTATTTACCAACCCTAAACACTGTCAGCTCTTCCTAGATGGAAGGAACCGGGCACTTTTGGCCATGCCTTGCCCACTCCTTCATGACTTGCATCCAGTTTCTTCTATTTGCAGCAAACTTCCCAAGTTATTTCTTTCTACTGCAGTAGCTCCCAGGGACCATGGACAGTTCACAACCCCATCATATTAGGTTACAGAATCACAGAAACAAAGGACCAGAAGGGACCTGTAAGATCATGAAGTCTGGTCCCCCGCCATGGGCAGGAGGTTATTGGGCTCAAACAAGCTCAACAAGGTGCTTGTCCAGCCTCCTCTTGAACACCTTGAAAGATGGCAACTGTACCACCTCTGCTGGGAGTGCGTTCCAAAATTTAGTTACCCTTACGGAAAATAAGTTTTTCCTTATGTCCAGCCTACTTTTTTCCTCAATTAGCTTGTGCCAACTGGTCCTTGTCCTCCCAAGGGGTGCCTTTCTGAAGAGTTGCTCCCCTAGATCTTGGTGTTCCCCCCCTGACATACTTGTAGGCAGCTATAAAGTCACCTCTTGGTCTTCTCTTACTCAGACTAAACAGACCCAGTTCTGCCTTCCCTTCCAACATCTGTACAGTCTTTGCTACAAAGCTCACAGTCAGA